GGACCCCAGAGGTGGAGTGGGGCCCAGGAGGGTCCTGGAGCCTCATGCCACGTGCAGGCTGCAGGGCTGAGGCTGCCCATGCCCGCAGGAGAAGGGCACCACACCGCTACACGTGGCCGCCAAGGCCGGGCAGATCCTGCAGGCAGAGCTGCTGGTGGTCTACGGTGCCGACCCTGGGGCGCCCGATGTGAACGGCCGGACGCCCATTGACTATGCCAGGTGAGGGCAGGGAAGGGGGTGACCCCTGCCTGCACCCCCACCTAGGGTGGGCATCACCCCTGCCGGCCCTCCCACAGGCAGGCAGCCCAGCACGAGCTGGCGGAGCGGCTGGTGGAGTGCCAGTACGAGCTGACCGACCGGCTGGCCTTCTACCTCTGCGGCAGGAAGCCGGGTGAGAGAGGGGGTCCTGGGGTGAGGGGGTCACCCTGGAGGGAGCACGTGGCCCTGCTCACCACCCCTCTCTTTGTGCAGACCACAAGAACGGGCACTACATCATCCCGCAGATGGCTGACAGGTGAGTGCCTGGCACCTGTGGCCCCGCTGCCCTGTCCCACGTCCCCCCCAGCGTCCCCGCTGGGCTGAGGGGGGACCCTGGTCACTGGAGCATCCCTGGGGGGTGGGGGGGTCAGCGTGCCCGCGCGTTTAACATCCGCCTTTGTCCTGTTCTTCCCTCCGCTGCCTTCTCCGGAGCGCAGGGTGCGCCCAAAGTGCATGGCACAGAGGTATTGTCCGCTCGGCTCTGGCTCCGGGGGCCCCCCATGCTGCTGGCATGGGCCCCCCTGCAGCCCTGGCTGCTCGGCCCAGCCCAGCACCTGGGGGGCACTCGGGGAGGGGGGTCCTGCTTGCCCCCTGCCACTTCATCCTTCTGTGCCTGCCTGCCAGCCCTGCTTGGTGAAGCCCCCAATGCCTGAGGGGGGGGGTCCCTGTCTTGGTGGGGTGCAGCTGGGGACTGTTTCGGTGGGAACAGGCCAGGAATAACCCCCACTTTTTGTTTCCCCCCTGCCCGTACCCCCCAGCCTGGACCTCTCTGAACTGGCCAAGGCAGCCAAGAAGAAGCTGCAGGCGGTGAGTGGGGGCCAGGGCAGGGCTGGGGGGTGTCCTGCCCCTCTCATCCTGCCTGACACTGTCCCCTGTACTGCTGCAGCTCAGCAACCGGCTCTTCGAGGAGCTGGCCATGGACGTGTACGACGAGGTGGACCGTCGGGAGAACGACGCGGGTGAGCGGGGGGTGCGGGGTGCAGCCCCCCGGGGCCGGGGCGGGAGTCACGGCGCGGGGGAGGAGCAGCAGCGGGGCCGCGGCCGAGCCCTGCGCTCCCCCCGATCCGCCGGGACCGCAGGCCCCTCCTTCTTCATTCCTCCGGCCGGGAAGGTTTGCTCAGCGCGAGGGGCCGCCGCTGGGTGCCAGGGCTGGGGTGCTGCCGGAGGTGGGTGCTGGGATCCCCCAGGGATGGGGGTCAGCCTGCAGTGGTGCCTCTGATCTGGGGGCTGGCAGGGTGGGGGCAGTCCCATTCGCGTGGCAGGGCGGGTGCTGACAGACAGACGTGTAAAACCATCTTCCCACCAGCTGGAGGGTGCTGAGCTGGTGCCTGAAAGGGTGAAGAGCATGGGGGGGGGTCCTGTTTGTGGGTTACGGGGGACCCCAGCCCTGCTGGGTGGCTGGGGGAGGTGATTCCCGTCAGCCTGGCCAGGCTCTGCTCCCAGCCCCAGCAGGCTGGCCCTGCGCCCGCGCCTGCGTCCTGCGGCTCTGAGCCCTGCAGCCTGCGTGTCCGGGGGTCCGTCCCTGTGCCCCGGGGTCTGACACCAGCTGCCTTCCTGCAGTGTGGCTGACGACGCAGAACCACAGCACGCTGGTGACAGAGCGCAGCGCCGTCCCCTTCCTCCCCGTCAACCCCGAGTACTCAGCCACGCGCAACCAGGTGAGTCCCCCTCCAGGCCACATGGACCTCCCTGTGCACTCACACCTCTGCTCACCCCCTTTTTCCTCCTCCTTCCCCCAGGGCCGGCAAAAACTGGCCAGGTTCAATGCTAGGGAGTTTGCCACTTTGCTCATCGACATCCTTGGGGAAGCCAAGCGCCGGCAGCAAGGGAAGAGCCTGCTCAGCCCCACAGGTAAGGCACGGAGGGCAGTGAGGTGGGGCTGAGCACTCCCCCCTGCCCTGTGCTCAGCACCCGCCCTGCCCTGCCCAGACGCCCTCGACTACTCGCTGCGGAGCCAGAGTGACCTGGACGATCAGCACGACTACGACAGCGTCGCCTCTGACGAGGACACGGACCAGGAGCTGCTGCGCAACGCCTCCCGCAACAACCGTGCCAGGGTGAGCCCAGCCCCGGCCCGGACCCCCACCCACACCCCCACCTCTGGGATCCTAGCGCTGAGCTCCTCTCTCTGCAGAGCATGGACTCCTCCGACCTGTCGGATGGCCCCATCACGCTGCAGGAGTACCTGGAGGTGAAGAAGGCTCTGGCTGCCTCTGAGGCCAAGGTGCAGCAGCTGATGAAGGTGAACAACAGCCTGAGCGATGAGCTGCGCCGGCTGCAGCGCGAGGTGGGTGTGGGGCCAGTGAGACTCCCCTCCTCAGCGTACCCTCCCCTCCTCACTGATGCCTTCCCCCTTCTGGCTGCAGATCCACAAGCTGCAGGCAGAGAACACGCAGATCCGGCAGCAGACTGGTCCTGCACATCCAACCCCGGCCCCCAGCGAGCGGCCAGAGCACGGGCACCCCCCGGGCACGGCCCCCCCGCACCGCCGGGACCGCCAGGCCTTCTCCATGTACGAGCCGGGCTCGGCGCTGAAACCCTTCGGGCAGCCAGTGGAGGAGCTGGTGACCCGGCTTCAGCCTTTCAGCCCCAGCGTGAGTGTGCTGGGGTGGGTGGGATGGTTTTGGGGTGCAGCAGTCCCCCCAGCCCCACGCGGGGCTGGGTCCCGTCCCCGCGGGGCCGTAACCTTTCGTGTGTCGCCAGGAGGTGGAGGACGAGGCTCTGTACTCCATGCACATCCCAGCCAGCGTGTACCGGGTAAGGGGGCCGCAGCGGGGGCGGCTCCTGCATGGGACATGGTGGCTGTCGCCTGCCCAGGATGTGGCCTTTGGGATGTCCTGTCCCCCCACCGCCCTGCACCCCCCTGGGTCAGGCCGGGGACCTCCCCAAGGGACGGCAGCTGTGGAATGTTCCTGCATGCAGGGTGGCGGTGTCCCCTGTGCTTGTCCTCCCCTGCACGTCAGCGGGTTTGGCTCCATGCCCTTTTGCACCCCATTCAGCATGGGCTTCCCCTCTTTTCCCCCTCCAGATCCGGAAAGGTCCATCTGCCTCCTCGGTGCCCTTCCCTCCATCCTCCCCGCTGCTCTCCTGCCCGCCTGATGGTGCCCGACACATGGTGATGTATCAGGGAGGGGGAGCAACTCTTGGGTTGGGGAGACTCCTGACCCTATGTGGGGATGGGGCTGGGCAGGGCTTGACACTGCTCCTCTCCTCTCCAGAGCAAGCTGGACCGGCATGGGAGCGGCACTGACAGTGACTACGACAACACACAGGCTGGTGAGGTTCTGATCAGGTGAGTGGTGGGGCTGGGGGGGAAGCTGCCCCAGGGTACGTGGGGACACAGGGACAGGGGGCTGATACTGACCCAGGGCGGTTGCCTGGTCCCTGCAGCATGGAGGGGAAGCGGTATGTGGAGCTGAGCAAGGATGAGGATTTCCCCCACGAGCTGGACCCGCTGGACGGGGAGCTGGACCCTGGCCTGCCCAGCACAGAGGATGTCATCCTCAAAACTGAGCAGGTCACCAAGAACATCCAGGAGCTGCTGCGGGCAGCACAAGAGTCCAAGCATGATAGGTAGGACTGGGGCACAGCCTCAGGGTCCTTCTGGACACCCTGACCAGGGTTGGGGCCAGTCCTTGTCAGCCTGCATGGTCGGGAGCCACTGTCCTCCGTGTTGTTCACCCTTTGTCCTTGCCCCCAGCTTTGTGCCCTGCTCAGAGAAGATCCACTCGGCTGTGACAGAGATGGCATCACTCTTCCCTAAGGTAGGAGGAGCAGTGTGTCCCTGGGGTGGTTGTGGTCCCCACCAGACACTGTCAGCCCCCTGAGCATGGGTTCTGACACTGGTCCTGTGCTCTGCTGCAGAAACCAGCACTGGAGACGGTGCGGAGCTCCCTGCGGCTGCTCAACGCCAGCGCCTACCGACTGCAGAGCGAGTGCCGCAAGACTGTGCCCCCTGAGCCCGGCGCCACCGTGGACTACCAGCTCCTCACCCAGCAGGTCATCCAGTGTGCCTACGACATCGCCAAGGCCGCCAAGCAGCTGGTCACCATCACCACGCGTGAGAAGAAGCAGTGAGCGCCAGCCCGCGTCCCCCCATGGCCCCAGGCCCCCGCACTCTCCATGCCTCCCTTCCCTCCGGCAGCAGCCGGCACCTGGGGCGAGCGTGGCTGCGCGTGGCCGTTCTGGGGATCCGAGGTGCGGGGTTCCTCGTGCCCCCTGCGCCATCAAGGAGCTGGTGCTCAGCCTGCGGGGTAGGTGCCTGCATCCCCCTGTACAGCCCCCTGCCTGCCCCGCGGCACGCGCCTAACTTATCCTGTACATAGCCTCTGTAGCTGTCCGTGGCGGCGGTGGCCTTTGTACCCCCACTCCCCACAAAGCCCCTCTCTGGGTGGCCGGTACCCCCGAGGCCTCCCATGGCATTACACTGGACTGGGGCGCCCGTGGGTCCCCCCTCCCCGGGCGTCCTGAACCCCTCCCCGGGCGTCCTGCCCCGTGCCGGGGCCGCGCTCCCCACTGTAAGATGTGTCCTTGTACATTTGTATCAATAAAGGTGTGAGCAATGCACGGGCATCCTGCCCCTGGCTCCTGCGCCCATGGAGGGTCCGTGGCTGCGGCGACAGGCAGGGCTTGGCCACGTGTCCCTCCCGTTTCACCCAGTCCCCTTGGCCCTGCTGGCGGCCATCCCCGGCACAGCCCTGCTGTTTGCCCAGCCCCGGGGCTGGGCTTTCCCAGCACGGCCCCGCCATCGCTCTGCGAACCGCCGACCATCGGGGCTGCCGGCTGAGGCTCCTGCCGCCTCCATGCTGTCCCCGGAGGGTTTGGTGGCCGCAGCCGCGGTGCTCGTGGGGCTGGGCCTTCTAGCTTGGTGCCTTTGGGCAGGGAGGCTGGAGGTGCCTGGAGACGTGGGAGAGGAGGAGGAGGAGGAGGAGGGGATACCCTTCATGGCCGAGGAGGGCTCAGGGCACTGCCGGCTGCTGTGCAAGCCCTCGGCTCTGGCCCAGCACCTGGTGCGGAGCTTGGGGCGGTCAGCGGCGCTGCGGGGGGGACACTGGCAGTGGCCGTGCTGGCCCCAGCTCCAGATGCTGTGGCAGCTCCTGCAGCCACCTGAGCCGGAGCCGGTGGTGGCTCGTGAGCTCCTGCAGCTGTCTGATGCTGGGCTGGTGGCCCTGGACTGGCTGGTGGGGCCGTGGGGGGCTGCGGGTGGCGGGGGGGTGGTCTCCAGCCCTGTGCTGCTGCTCATCCCCAACGCTGCTGGGAAGGTGACGGGGGGGCTGCTGCAGCTGGGGCTGCGGGCGCTGGAGCGGGGCTTCATCCCCGTCATCTTCAACCGCCGGGGCCACAACGGCTGCCCCCTCACCACCCCCCGGCTCCAGCCCTTCGGGGATCCCGGGGACTTGCGGGAGGCTGTGACTTACCTGCGGTGCCGGCACCCCTCTGCCTCTCTGCTGGCCGTCAGCGAGGGCTCGGGCTCGGGGCTGCTGCTCGCCTACCTGGGCGAGAGCGGCTCCTCCAGCCGCCTGGCCGCTGCTGCCTGCCTCTCCCCCATCTTCCGTGGCCGGGACTGGTTTGAGGCCAGCATGCCCTGGCTTTACGAGTGGCCGCTGCTCCTCCATCTCAAGCAGGGATTGAGCAGGTCAGTGCAGTCCCTTGGGTTTGGGGAGGTGGATGGGGGTACCCTGGGAACCCCTCGGTCATCCTTGGGGGTGTGCATGGGGTGGGTGCTGCTGCTGACACCGGGAGCCCCAGTGCAGGGGCAGAGGTGCTGAGGGCAGCAAAATGTGCTGGTTAATGAACACCAGCCTGGAGCTGGCTGCTATGGGGCCAGCTGGGCTACCACGTGTCCCCAGCCTGGCTGGGGCTGGGGCTGCGGCAGCATCTTGGGGTTCCTGAGCTGGGAGGTGTGGGGCAGGGTCTCACAACTCTTCCTGGGAGGAATTGGTGAAGTGCTCGTTTGGATTTGGATCCTGAGGGGTGAGTGGGGCTGGCCTTCTCCCTGCACCTGACCCTCCTGTTGGTCCTGGGGTGGGACTGTGATGCCAACCCACAGCTGGGCTGGGCGCTGGAGTGCTGCTGTCCCTTCCCCAGGGGTCTGGGTTCCCTATTGCACAACACAGCCAGGCTCGAGTGGACCAAACACTGGCTGAGAAAGGAGACAAACTGCCCTGGTCCAAGGCCTTGAGCAAGTGGGCACTTCCCCAGGGAGTGCTGAGAGCTTGTGGGGGCAAAGGGGACTCCGCAGGTGGGCAGATGGGAGTCAAAAAAATGCGGAAAAACCCCAAACATAGGGACAAACAGGTGCCGGGTGAAGCTGCAGCAAATCTCAGATGGGTGCAGCAAGGAGCTGTGCTTACTGCAGGGATGGGGTACTGGGGGGTGGGCAGCAGAGAATCTCCCCCCTCCCTATTTTCTGATTCCCTCTGCAAATGCTGCTGTCACGGTAACGAAGCAGGAGTGCCGGCCGTCTTCCGTTGTCATGGCACCCAGGCTGTGCTGTGGGGACCCTCCAGGATCCCTGGCAAGGGGCTGGGATGGGCCTCCTAAGCCACTCTGGGGTTGGGGCAGAATAGGTTACTCCTATTCCTCTGCGTGCAGGGCCAGGACTGTCGAGCAGCCCATGGGCACACAAGCTGGTGGCACCCCTATGGCAACATCCCTGTAGCCCCCAACTCCACGTGGCGCCCCTATGACCCTCCACCCCCACGGCAGCACGCCCCAGCCCCTGCCAACATTCTCTGTGGCCCCTATCCCAGGCAGCATCCCCATGTCCTCCCCACCCACGGCAACATCCCTGAAGTCCCCAGCAGTGCCCCCATTGCCCCCAGCCCACGGCAGCAGCCCTGCACCTCCAAGCCCACGGCGGCCGCCCCATCCCCGCAGGTACGCGGGGGCTCTGGCTGAGGTGGTGGACACGGACAGGCTCCTGGGCAGCCGCTCGCTGCGGGAGCTGGAGGAAACCCTCTTCTGCCGGACCCGGAGCCGCCCCAGCAGCTGGGAGAGCTACTGGGAGCGCAACGAGCCCCTGCGCGACGCGGACGAGGCGGCGGTGCCGGTGCTGTGCCTCTGCAGCGCCGATGACCCCGTGCGTGGCGCCCCGGCCCGCAGCCTGCCCCGGGAGCTCTTCCGCAGCAGCCCCTACTTCTTCCTGCTGCTGACCCCGCTCGGGGGGCACTGCGGCTTCCCCCGCCGGGGGCCGGGGCGCTGCTGGGCCCACGAGGCCGTGCTGGAGTATTTCAGGGCCATGGCCGAGTTCCTGCGGATGGAGGAGAGGAGGAAGGGGCTGCCGCGGCCCCGCAGGTGTGGGGGTCCCCCAGCTGAGCCCCCCGTGTTCACCTGGCAGAGGTCCTACACGCGGTAGCCCCCCTAGGGCAGGGTCTCACAAAGGCAGGCAGACACTCCGTGTACTAAAATTACTTTATTACAGTTGATTTTTTTTTTTTAACATTTCCTTTGCTATGATACAAAGGATACTTACAAACAAAATATTACATATGACCTTATTTTTTTTTTCTCTTCTCTTATTTTCTGACAACTTGGTAACAGCTTTAAATGCACAATCTATACAATTAATACAGGTTATATATGAGCTATAATGTATGTTGAACCAGAAGAATACCAGAATACTGACAATATACTGTACATTAAGCCTTACCAGTTAGTGCTCGTGGCATTTTCTACAAGAAGGAAAACGCACACCTGTAGATTCACTCATACCAGCTGGTGCTACCAGACACGGAAGCAAGAAGGAGTTTAATTCCCCTGGTTAAATCCTTCGTGGCCCATCACCGTGGTGCTGAGCCTGGAAACCTCAGACCAGTGTTCATAGTAAAACAGCAGATATGTGTGTGTTTTTTTTCTATCTAATGCTCTGTGGCACAGCACGGCACCGGCCGGGCTTGGCCATACCTGGATGATGCCCCAGAGCAAACGGCCATGGCGCTGGGGCCGGGCGCTGGGTGAGCTCTTGCTGGGGAGCTGGACCTCCTTGGGGAGGGGGAGAGGAGGAAGAGGAGGAGGAGAGGAAAAGCAGCAACAGCTTTGCTGTCATCAGCAGGCAGCTCTTGGGTTTGTGCACATGAACAGGCGGTCGCCGAGGGGGAAGAGCGAGCCCAAGGCCTGGCGCTCCCGGCACGGCTCCGAGCCCGGCCGCACACGGAGCTCGTGCCCGGCAAACCCTGCACGGGGTCGGGCAGCAGCTGCCCTGTGGTCACCTCCTCACCAGGAAAGGTTTGCTTTTGTTTTGCAGCCAAAGCCAGAGGTGTGTGGCTACAGGTGTGCACTTCCCCTCCTCCCGCCGGGGTCTACATCGCACTGATAAGGTTACATTTTTGTTTTTTATTTAATTTTTTTTTTTTCCTTTTTAAAGCAACCAGCAAGTGAAGCATTTTTTTAGTTGACTGGCAAAAAGACCTGGCATTTGCACAAAAGCTGCAAATGGAAAAGAGCCATCCCCCTCCTCCCACCCGCTGCATCCCAGCCCAGAAAAATCCCAAACTGTTGGTGGAAGAAAGAAAAAAAAAAAACCACAACAGGGGTGGAGGAGAGAAAGGGGAGGGGGAACAGGTTGGAAAATACCAGGTTTGAGTTAACATTTCCTTGACTTCACACAACTCTTGTGCAAAAAGAAACACCCCCCCCCCCCCAAAAAAAAAAAAAAACCAAACCCAAAAAAATGCTGGAAAAAAAAAAAAAAAATGGAAAGTAATATATAAAATTAAAAATATAAATAGGATGTCTGGCTGACTGGTAGAAGAATAGGTCATTTAGGTTACAAAAAGGAATATACATTCAAGAGGCTCTGAACCCAGTGGGGTAACTGATGTTAAACTTGTGTTAATAGTTAGGCTAGAATTCTCAAGTTTGTCTTTAAAATCTTCACAACACAAGCAAGCTATTTTTAAAAAATATACACTATACACACCTCACACAGCTTCTCCTATCCATATTACACACGTTACGCTACCCTCCCATCCCTACACCGAGGGGGGGTCCCATGGCCGAGGGGCCCGGGGTGTCCCCCCATCCTGTCCCCCCGGCCCCGCGGTGGCGGTGGGGCAGCGATGGCTGCGGGGCCGGGCAGGTCGCTTGGCCCCTCCACGTCTTACCACAACCTTCTCAAAGCATTTACAAGTCACCAAAGGGCTGTAGCCTTTTATGTTATACACACTTCACTTTGCAACGTTAATTATTTACATCAGGGCTGCCCTCCCCCCCCCCCCAATCTTTTAGCTGTTTCTAGGCAGGTAAAAAAAATGTTCCTGTTCCAAGCAAGCAGGGGGAAGAGCTGCAGGGGGTTAGGAGGGAAGAAAAGCTGAAGAAAGGAAGCGGGTGGTTTGCTTGCCAAAGCCAAACCCGTACACGCACGTCTGCCTCTCCTTCTCTGATCCTTGAACCCTTACAAGCTCCCATTCCCTACAGCCTCCAGGACAACCAGACCCGGAGAGCACGGCCTCACTGGCGCTCAGACTCCTCTGCTCGCAGCTTCCCGGGATGCTCAGCACTGCTATTGACTCTCAGGCTTGCCTCTGCCACAGGACACGGAGCACAGATCCTGACCATACCTAGGAGCCCACCCCTCACTCTGCAGCAGGTCTTGCAGGGCAAGCCAGCTGAAGTGGGGTGGGGACACCAGGACCCCCACAAGCCACCACACTGCACCCCCAAACTTGCCCTTGGCAGCTGCCACCAGCCACAGTCGGGCTGTGCCGGAGCTGTGCAGAGGCAGCGGCCGCCGACTTCAGCTTGTCAACAACCCTGCGCTGATTTCTGCACTCTGCTGAGCTCAGAGTTGCCATAGAAATGTGTGATCCTGGCACTAAAAGCAGGCAACGACCTCAAATCAAAGTCTTTTTTTGTTTTGTTGTTTTTTTTTTTTTTTTCCTCCAGTAGATTTAGATGAACTCGGGCTTAAGACAAAAACAGTTGGAAGGGGAAAAACAGATCATTTCTAGAGAGATTGAAAAACATTACCACAAGCCGGTATTAAACTGCAGCAAAGAACCTGAACTTGGTTCCCATTGAGTTCAGCTCCAGAGCAAGCTCAAAGCCACGGCTGTCCCTCGCACTGCCCTCCGTGCGGTACACGACGCTCAAGGGAAGGAGATCTCACACAGCCATCAGGGAAAACCCAGCCAGAGGCTGGGAGCTGAAAGCCCCAGGCCAGCGGCTGTTGGCCTCCCCAGCTCGCAATATTTAAGCACAAATTCCTCACAGCATCACTGGACAAGTCTCGGGGATTAGGTGCATGCTGAACTACGACTGGCAATTACAGTAGCTTTTTGCTAGCTGGCACATACTGTATCTATAAATTTTAGTACAAAAACTTAAAAAATACAGAAACTAGGTCAATTTGTTAACTACATATTTACAGATAATTACAATTCTTTTCAGTGACAATAATTAAACTAATTGTCAGTGAAAATTCAAACTGTGCATGTTCTGAGGTACCCGTACTCAAGGGTGGGGAGCGGGGCAGGGGGCCAGAGGGGCGAGGTGGGGAGAAGTTTCCCCCCAGGGTTTGTTCACATCCATGGGGGCAAAGCTCGGCCCTCCTGGTTCCTGGTCTCACTGTGTGCACTCAGAGAAAGCAAGGAGAGCGGGAGCTGATATTGGGGTCTTATTTTCCCTAGGACATGGCTTAAGGATGTTCTGAGGATGCCAGGCAGGTGCAGAGCCAATGGTCATGAACCAAATTGCCTTCTCCCCTCCAGGGAGCCTTCAGGTGAAGTGCAAGTATCGAGACCCACAGCTCAGTGGTTAAGGTGCTTGTTTGCTGGCAAATCCGATTTACTAAGTCCCTCTCTAGCTGACAAAGAGCTCTCCTTCCCCCGGAGAAGGGGGCAGGGATGCAGCAGGCAGCATCACAGCCCCAGCTGGCTGAACCTCATTGTGCAACAGGAACCTGGGTTATCTGCTGCCACTGCTCCCTGGTGGGGTGATGTTTGCTAAAACCACTAGATCTATCAGGTTTTCTTATTTTCTGGCTGTAAACAGCAAGCCCCAACCCTCCAAAAGCGCCTGACATATATTAATCAAAAGACTTCAGCTCAGTTGACTTGTAAAAGTGCAAACTCAAACAACCACAGCAGAGGGACAGTGACCAACATCCCTGCCTGGGTATCCACTGCTCCTCTGTCCTTGGCACGTGGTTCCGGGCTCACTGCGGGCCAGCACTGGGGTGGGAACATTCTACAGGCAGGAGCACAGGTAAATACAACACTACTCCTTGGGAAAGGGTAACAATGACCCAACCAAAACTGAGTCTCTCCTAAAAAACTTGCAAGAAACCTTCCATAAGGGACAGGGGGAATATTGCCTCCAAGTTCTCTGGTAGCACAAAGAGAGCCCAGGGTTGGCATTCTGCTGAGCTGGAGGGGCATCCTTGGGGGAAATGCATGACCTGACACATGCAAGACCTGCTCATCCCCTGAACTGTCAAATGCCTCCCTAAGATGGGGTCTGTAGAGGACAAAGGAGAAGGTCAGAAGGGTCTTCACAGCTTGAGGAGCTGGTGGTGTCCAGCATGGCACTCGCCCCTCTACTATGAGAAAGACCAGGGCAAGATTTACTAGAACTGCAGAGCAAGCACCCAGGAGAGGAACGAGGCTGTCTGCTGCTGGCTGGACTTGAGTGATGAAACACACAGTCCTAAGGAGAATAAAGAATGGACCATGAGCATCTCTGTGTGTATACACGGATGTATAGACCTTAAGTCTGTAAGTACACACACGTGTACTTAAAATCTTCCAATTTAGCTTCTCTTTTGCCCCTTCACACAAGCTAAGAACCTCCAGGTATCAGCCACATGCCAAGGCAGTCAGTGTTCAGAGCTAGCAGCAGCTCCACCTCAGGAATGCCAAAAGCCAGTGCGGGCGCAGTGAGCCAAGACCGTGCCGGGCTTGTGATCTTTCGTGGTGAGACGCAGCTGGGGACTCTGAGCTCAGCCTGCTGAGCACTTCACCGGCCCACTCGCCGCCTCCCCAGCAGATCCCTACACTGCCTCCACTGCCTGCCTATTGCTAAACCATCTTGTTTTCTTCTCTGCTGCCTTGTGACTTTCTGGTACCCTCAGGAAGCTCCCTTCTCTCCTTCAAAGCACACCCGCAGCAGCTACCTACCCTCTCATGCCCCAGAAAAAGCAAGCTGCAATTACCAGGGCTGCACTTCAGCGAGGGTTCAGCCCTAGCACAGCCTGTGCCACGTCTGTGCCCTCGCCCCGAGAGCCCTGCTGAGGGGTTGCTTTTGCTCACAAACAGGAGCGCTAAAGAACAGCAGAACTGAAGTGCCCTGACAGAAATGCACAGCATGAGGTGTGTGTGCACCTATACCCACACACACGTACATACAGAGTATATAAATATATACAAATGTGATACCATATATATA